CTCAGATCATTGGTTTATGTAGGTTGTGCCCTCAAAATGGGACCCAAACCTGCTCAGACAAAAGTTGAGCAGTGATGCTAAAGGGAGAGAATTTGACTGAAGGGTCAACAGGTCATTTTTCTTTCCTGTTTTCCACTGACCTGATCTCTGTGATGGCCCCTGATGCTTGTCCTGGTTCGTTGTCATAGATCTTGACCTTGTATCCTCCACTCAGGAACACCATGGCCCAGGAGCGGCCGATCAGCCCACTTTATGATGCCACATACCATACAATTAGGAAAAAGAGACAGCATTGTAAAAAAGTCAAATATAAAGAGAAAACATTAGTGAAAACCAATGCATTATCTACACACCAAAATTAGGAACATGTCTGAGACTACTTAAACAGAAACTTTAATATTGCAAAGAACTTTATTGCAGGACAAATATTAATTCAAAGTCTAAAGACTTTGATGCCCATGCATGAAAAAAAAATCCTGTAAAATAGTCAGAATAATAACCTTCAACGTCAATAACCTTATTTGCACATGACAAACCTACCCAAAAGGTAAAATAAGCGCAAATACCGACTCGCGTGCTCATTTTATTTTGGTCATAAATCATTGCACTGTTCCTTTTTCACATGCACTATTCTGATATGGAGTAATACATCTATTCATAAACACTATCACAGTACAGTTCAAAGTCCACTCAGCTATTCTCTTGTGCAATCTCAGGAACATGTCTGCCAAAATTGACAGACTGACTTAAACAAGGTAACTCTTACCTTCCGACAACGGTAATAATCTTCCCTTTTAATGAAGCCATCGCAGTCTCGTTTACAAATGTCAAAACTCAGTCAGCTAACATTACTTTACAGGAACCCCAATATCACCAGACTTCAGGCTATGCGCACGAAAGACGGGCGGAGCTACGGCGTCTCGCACGCGCCAAAATACATCAGGACTTTTACAGTAGGATAATTCCTTGGTTTGGAGCGCAGAAGACGATCATACGTGCATTTAGAAATGTAATATTAAAAAGACAGACGCAAATATAATCAATAAAATAACCAATAGCGAAACAGAGTTAAGTCGCCAGTGTGTAGCCTATGGCAATCCGTCTCTGTATCCTAGCAACGACCGATGTGTTGCTCAACAGCGTAGTTAGCGAGCTCTAGCTGCTGTTGGGCTACATACATGGGTTTTCGGGATATTTCTATTTAATACGGCTATTAATTTGCACTTTTTTTCAGAAAGCAAACTGAACTGCTAACCAGGTAAGTGAAACTATCATAATTCACAAACCTCAGATGTTGGCAGTTACATTGTGTACGAGATACGTGGTATGGCCGCGAACTAGCCGTGCAGACGAACTTGTGATCTGTGTTGTCAGGCGATGGTTTTTAAAGAGTAACTCGCATATTTATTCAAAATAATGCCTACAAGTTGTAAGAGTTGCTTCTTTTCTTTCTTGTTTTATAGATGTTCTCACTGTATAGTTTGGATAAAGTGTCTCCATTGTTGCCTGAAAAAGGCATTAGCCTTATATTCTTAAATTATTGTAATTTGCCTATTTATTAAACATATTGACAAATATAGCATTCACATCAAAAGACTTGCATGAGTTTTTGTTGTGTTTCAGATGGACAACGTGCATCTTGTCCCAGAGGAAGAGGAGGATGATTTGTATACTGGCTACAATGATTACAATCCGACTTTTGACGGAGAGGTGCACAAATACTTAGACCGTAGACATGCATTTATTGAATTTCATAGTTTGCTTTTATGCATCATGATTTTCCTGTCCCTGCAGGACCTTCACAATGATGAGGGCTTTCAGCAGGCAGTCAGGACTAGTCATGGCAGAAGACCACCAGTAAGTTATATTGCACCTGCTGATTAAGCTGCTGTATAAAACGTCAAGCACACCAGAAATAATAGACACTACATTTATTTATTAAATATTTTTAGATGACCGCAAAATATCCTGGCACTGCCATTGGAGGGCGACCGATTGGAACAGCTTATGGGGTAAGTAAAGCATATGGATTTACACTGAATGAAAATTCAATAGCTTAAGTTAGAATGATAGCATGTTAGAATGTGCAATGTCTCATAATCAGGAAGACAGCTGTCAGGGCAGGAAAGGTGAAGGTCTCCAAGAGGTGAAAGATTATACGGTCAGAATCATTCAGGACGGTCAAATCAAATAGCTAGGAAAGCAAACACATTTCTGGTTGACTATTGAATTAATTTCATGTTTCGATGAGGGACTGTGAAGCTGTTTGCCAGATGTTGGTAGTATATTGATGCTGTTTGTTTTCCTTTTATGTCTATATATGTCTGATGTTAATATCTAGTCTCGGATGCCTGTTGGCACTGCTATG